AATAATATTAAAAAATCAGAAGTAAGAATAAATTTACAATTAATTATATATCTTAATAATAAGAAAATAAAAAATTTTTATTTAAAAAACCACCTATTGTATACCATAAACCCAAACCTAATAACATTAAAAATAGAATGCACAAAATATACTATTATATTCTTTAAATTCTATTAATACAAAAAAATAAAAATTTTTATAATAATTATTATGTACAATATTTATTAAAATGGTTTAAAATAAGTATACCATACTGGACCATCTGGATTGGTAGTCTGGAATGAGACTGACAGTTCTGAGTTGCGGCTAGTAAGGGATGATGAAGAAGATGCTGGAAAGATGGGTACTAGGGTTCTAGTGAACTTTACAAGGGTAGAAATAGTGTAACGTAGTGGTTAAACAGTTGACCCTTGTGCCTGCAAGTGTTAGATAACTATAGCATGTTGCATAAAACTAGGTCTAGATGTATGAGACATAAAAGCTCTAATAAGTTTCCTATCAAGGATAAAGTAATCCTAAGGAGATCGATAAGCATTAGGAACTTGGATGGGTGATGCCTTGAGATGTTTCTGTAATACAAGGAGGATTGCATATGCAAAGGGTTTAAATAGGCAAGACCTCTAGTTGGCTTGCAAGTATGACAACTAGTATAAAACTTATATAGTAATATGTAAGTGAACTACTTAAATTAGACACCAAAAGTGCACGTGTAGCTAGTTGTAACCTCCAATGTAAGGTGAGCTCTTGGTGGCATGCCGTGTCCTAATATACTTGAATAAAAACATCGCAACTCCCAAGATAGGGACTTTAACTTTAAAAAAAAAAAAAAAAAAAAAGATTTAAAATACAACTTAAAATTCAATTTTTTTTTTTAATTTATTCTATTCATATATGATTTGTTCTGAAGATAAGTGCATTTTATTAATAAATTCTGATAACTTTAAACTTTATTTTATGTATATGTCAGAAAGTTCAAAGTTACTTTTTTAATTTTTCGATAATGAATGAATCAAAAACGTAACTTTTATACATGTACAAACTCATAAATATCTATTGAACAGAAAATTAAAACAAACAATAAAATCAATATACGATAAGGTTCATTTTTTCTTGCAATACTTAAATAAAAAAAAATGAATTTCTTAAATTTATCTTTTGTTTCTTTTTGTAATTACATGTAATTTTTTTCATGTGAATAATTTTTGCAAAAATTTTTATAACGCTGGTAATTCCGAACAGAATGATTACGTAGATAAAAATTCGTGTAACCCAACCCTAACTCTAAATTCTATTGGCTAACTACATGTAACAGCCGCTACGAATAAAATTTTTAAAATACAGCATAGCCAATCAAAATCAACTATTTTGAACTAATTTAAATTGGTTCAAATTAGTTAGGTATAATCTTGTGAGATTTTTGTCAAATGTTTTTAAAGGTTGTATAAAAAAAAATCAGTGCATCTTATATTATAAAACGAATATTCATTAGGATAGGTAGGTATATATAAATTATTACAAATTTCGAAATTTCATGATTATTCAAACTTGCAGAACGGGCTTAGAAATTAATCATCCAAGTCAATGATCCACACTTCTATATATCGGTTTCTAATAATTTGAAATAAATGCTTCGATAACAAAAATAATTATGATATATTTCTTCGGCACAGAAACAAAACATATATAAATATATGGGTCGCAGTTTGGTAATGCTAAATCGCAAGCTGGTATATATATTTATGCATTTTTTATTGGATAACATTATATTCAATAAATTATTCTTTTAATAGAATATTTCATTGAAACTAGGGATGGGTTAGGTTACGAACGGCTACGATTATTCATAGTCAATTTGCTAAATACTGAGATGAGAATTTATTTTTGAGCTTTTAGCTTAACTAGGTTTCAAAGCCAAGAAAGAAGGCTACTTCTAATATAAGGATATAATTAAAGTTATTCAGAATTTTATATTCTGTTCATTCCATATTATTAATGTAAACAATGATACCTTCTTTGAAACTTGAAATTTTAAAATTTGTTAACGTTATAGTCAGCTATAATGTTAATAAATTTAAAATTCTGAACTCCAGAGAAGGTATCGTTCTTTCCACTTATAAGAAGGGATGAACAGAATATAATTCTGAACAACTTTAATTAAAGGCTCAAAAATAAAATTTCATCTCGGTATTTAGCAAATTGGCTATGAATAATCGTAGCCGAACCTATCCCTAATTGAAACCATTGGAGCAATAAGTTCAATGTATTCCAGACTCCAATAAAAAACAAAGAATGTCATACTTTTGAGACAATTTTTTTAAGCGTTTGACTCATTTGACTCAATTAAAGTTCAAACGGATGCAAAATCGTCACCCTGATCACTCGCATAATCTGAAATCGTTGAAAACGGTCTGAATAATCTTGACGATGAGAATTATAGATGGCAGTTTTTTCAATTTTGTGGTTGGAGTTCGATTCAATATTATCGAAAAATAAAGAAAACTGATTCAGTTCGAATCTGAGATCCGAAAATAAGTATGAAAAAAATATATATAATTTATCCAGTCACTATTTAAAAAATCGGGTCACTCCGGTACGCTATATCGAAGAATATAAAAGAAAAACTATCGAAGGTACTACTAAAAGTTCAAAAGAGATCTATCGCTATTGACCCTTTATATAGTTTTTTATTAGGCTCAAGCTAGAAAACATTGCGTCATAACTTTAAAGTAACTAAGAAAATCATTTCGTAATTACGTAATAATTTACTATTATTAATGGTAGGTATTACGAAAGGAAAAATGTATCACGTTTTTCGTAACAACGTACGCACGTACGTACGTATATATTAATTTTATGCTATCTACGATCACGCAATTCATGCTTCGTGATCACGTTACATAACCCGCTGCGAATTACTTGGGTACTATCGAACGTGTTGAACATACACAGTGTATTACATATTAGCAAAGCAAAGAAAATAATAATGAAGGTATGGTAATCTCCGAAAGTTTGTAACTTTTTTTCTAAATCCAGATTAGTGGAATTGAACATTTTAGATAAATTAGTAAGAATGAAAATGCGTTTATTTTCACAATACAATAATAATGTGTTTCTGCGTAATAGTAACAGTAACAGATACATATTCAACCGTTTTGACCCAAGTTGTAAATGTTTGACCCGGTTGAACCGTTTTGACACGGGTGACCCGGTTTACTATAACCCGGTTCTAAGCTTCAGACTCAATCAATCTTCGCCTATTGATTTGTGCAATTTGTCTGCGATTGAGCCGCTGACTCTTATCACCATCATTTTCACGTTTCACCTGGGCACTTTCTTCTGAGACAATAATTTCGATGTGACATGGGCTGCTCATGTATGGGTTGATGCGCTATTACAATCACAATTGAATATAGTATAAAAAGATCGGCATTAATGACAATTTTTAACTTCGCGTTAAGTAAAAAATTAATGGCAGATTACTAACACCATGAGCACGATAAGTTCTTCGTCTCTGCTTTGGAGCTTGGTTGACTTGAATATGGGAAATTACTAGATTGTCAACATCCAATTGCTTGAGCTAAACCGGGAAATAAGAAATTTAAATTTGTAAGTTATATGGAAAATATCAGTAATTTTTTTATAAATTTGTAATTTTACCTCGGCATTACTTCGGGCATTTTTTAGAAGTCCTAATAAAAAGTCTGCGCTTTTAACAGGCCAACGTCCTATTTAAGAATAATTAATAAGTTTTTATTATTATTATTATTATTATTCATATATTTTATCCATCCATCAATTAGTGCTATTAAGTAGATGATTAATCCATTTTAAGCTCATATTTATTGACTTCAAATAACGAGAAAGTAAGCAAAGAATCAATGAATTCAACATAAAACGACCAACTGAACCTTGTGTAGCACCGAAAGCTTTGGCTTGAGCGCAACGACCAACACCACCGTTGAAGCGTCGGAAAGGCACAGCTTGTTTATGCTCCTTTACATCTTCCAGGTACTTAATAGCCTTAATAAGCTTTTTGCCAGAGATCGCCTTGGCAGTTTCGCGCGTATTTTTAAAATGAACACGTAGATACGATCCACGGGTCTTGGCAGCTATTTTTTCGAGATCAGAATGTCAGCACTTTCAGGTTCAAATAAGCGAATAGGTTGATATCTAAACAAGCTCACACTTGGAAGGGTTGGTCGGCTTAGCAGAGTATCTGGTCATGTTCTGTAGTTATTGAAGGACCTAAAATAACGAACTTTATCAAAAAAAAATTTTTCAATAGATCAAAAAGCAAAGGTTCAATTTTACTGGCTGCAGATATGCATCCTGTTGATCAATATCGTTAGATTCTATTGGACCTGCAAAAATAGTACCACGTGACCTTGGACGGTGTAAGATCTCGAAAATTCTACGGACAGAGCTTAGGGACAGAACAAAATCACGTGAATAGTTAGTTATTGGTTAGGGTAAGAGGAATTTTAATCATATCACGTGAGTTTGTTCTGTCCAGTTCTGTCCGTAGAATTTCCGGTAAGATCTTCCCAAGCAAATCACATGAATAGCCAATTAGATAAACCTCTGTAGCTCACCCACAAGATTTTTTCCGGCACGTAACGTAAATATCACGTCATTTTAAAAAATCGCCATTAACTCGAAATTTTACCTATGAAACTGCCTTCTGCGTTCTAATAAAAAAAATTCCTCGTGAAATTTTAGTATAAATTATGTCCTTCCTAATCCCTTATCCTAACCTTAAGATGATGATTCTTACTTTAAAATCTTTCGCTTAATTCGATTGTTTTGATTTTACGTTACACCTGATCCTTCGATATAATTGGCTAAAAATCACGTACCGGAAAAAATCTTGTGGATGAGCTACTATTAATGTAGAATAATAAAATGTCGTGTAACATATTGATGTCGATCACAAAAATTTAACCAATTAAAACAAACTTCCATCTTGCTCCTTCATGTTATGCAGTTTTCAGTCAGCAACAATGCAAGAGAATATCAAAAAAAGATCTATAGGAACGAAAGGAAATATAAGTAGTAGTGATATAGATAGCGCTAACGTAAAAAATGTAGTTGAGCATGAAGATTTGTCAGATGATCAAGAAGATACTCAAACAAAGAGAATTAAATTCGATAATAAATCGGATCCCCCTCCAATTGATGACAAACCGTCAAAAGACAATACGCTTCCAGATGATTTTTTTGATAATTCTTCTAAAACAACGTCAAGTCAACAAGAAAAAACTACTGATGAGATCGAAGAAGAGTGGATCTTATTTCAAAAACTGATATCTAAAGAAACACAAGTTAGTAATCAGATTGCGTACGAAGATGAAGAAGAGTTGCAACGTGATAGAGATGAAATGTTAGAACGTGAACAAGAAATATGCATTAAGAGATCAGAACGATTAAAGGAAGTTGCCAAGAAAGTTCGTGAGAATCGTGAGCAAAAAATGGTTGATACTGTTAAAAAAGATATAGACGAGTCTGATGACGATAGTGACGAGGATATCGACGATGGTTTTGAGAATGAATGGATGGACTGGAGGGCGCAAAGAATTTTATAACATTATTAAACGAATACTTTATAATCATTATTGAAAAACATCATATGTATATAATATTGTTTTACGATATGCAAATATTTTTAAAATGGGTAAAATTCAAGATTATTATTATTAAACTTAAGCATTTACTGAAGAAATTTTCTAAATGTACACTAGTGTATGTACACATTAGTATAATTTTTAAATCCGTATAACACATAAAGAAAACAAAAATTAATTTACTTATAATTTATACTAAAATT